GGTTGCATAAAGTCCTACAACAATAAAAGAAACTCAAATAGACATCAAGAGTGTGGATGTGGGTGATGACACATACTCTTTTGACTATACCCACACCCACCCACACCCTCAACTGATCTACTGTCTATTGATATATTAGATTGTACTCACCTTTTTAAACATGTTTCTGAGTCTTTCAAACATTTTTCGTTGAAATAGGATCTAAAAATAACCTTAAATCTGGATTGATTTTATGATAGAGAAATAAAGCTTCGATGACGATCTTTTTGACATTGATTGCGACTCACTCTACAATGTCTAAGAGAACGTATGAAGTATATCATATACTCTGTTTTTAATGCGTCTTTGTATTTGAGAACTTATCGAGATAGTTACATCTTAAACAGAAGATTTTTTTTATCGCACTATTTGTTGAATGATGTATGCTTACCTGACAGCATGTTGGAAAGATGCGATGATAACAAATATTTTTCTTACCAAGAATTATTCTTTGAGAAAGAAGACAAAGGGTAAGCGTAAGCATAAAACGAATGTTCAGACTGAGAGAATAGAAGGGAGCGTGTGGGTGTAGATGAATGTGTATGAGTATGAGAGTATCATATCTATCTTACCCTCACCCAACCCATCTTTGGCGAGTTTACATTGGGTATAAAAATCATCATATCTTCTCGCCCGAATTAATTCGATTCCTGAACTATTTTTGTTTCATTTTATTATAATTTTTCAAAAGCACGTAAAATACAACACTGACAAGCAATATATACCAAAACAAAAGCTAAATAATTGATTACTGAAAAGTTTTGTTATTCAATTTCTTGTGCTTAATGCACGATTTGGAAAAAAACAACGTTGAAATATTTCCCATTTTTGTTTGAATATTGTAGTAAATTCTTTTTTGTATATTTTCGATGTTAATACAAAAATAAAGAAATGAAGTAGAGGTGGAATAAACGAAATGAAATAACTGGCCAAGAATAATTTATATTCTTTTGGTGTTTTCATACAATTAGATAGGAAAGAAGTGACCAGACGAGGTAATGCCAAGATAATCAATGCAATTGAACTAAACATAAGATGTTTATGCTGATCAAATTGACGTTTTAGTTGTTGTAGAAAGGTAACGTTTCTTTGTGCGGATGAACGTTGTCTTGCAGTAATAATCATAATACCAATGACTAATATAACATTTACTGTAAAAGGAATAATAAAATGAAATATATTAATAAAGCTGTTATAAGTTTCCACTTGAGATGTAAATTCAACCAAACACCATGTTCTTTGTTCTTCAGTATCATAAATTAGATGACGATGAACTGGATCATGAATAAGAGATGCAGCAGCCAATACAAAAATGAGACATATAATTAGTTTAGCTAATCGTCGACTCTTTGCCTTGTCAAAATGAACACCAAGAAAAACAACGAAAAATCGTTCAATTGTCACAAAAGCATGTAACCAATCAGTTGTAGCTAATAAAAATCGAAGAATAAATTCGATTGAAGTACAATGAAACAGAAGAAAAGATTGGTGAGTTATAGCGTTCATTTGAGAAAGAATAAGTATCCATAATTTGATATAGAAACAAATGACGACTAGAATCGATGTAATTGATGAAGTAAGAAGATAAAATCCACAACCTGTTTTTCGAGTTACTTTTACTTGAAATGTAAGATTTGATAAAATTCCACTAATAAGACCAATAATAATTATCAGTGTACCGAAAGTTATACTAATTTGAACAGGTAAAGACTGTTGAGTTAATGATAGATGTGGGTTAATATGATAACCTAAAATAGAATCAAGTGAAAGACCAGAATGTTTTGTAGTGCGTTGACATTTATCACCATAAAAACATTCTTGACAAACACACATTTTTTGTTTTGGACAATGTGGATGATCTTGAAAACATTGTCCATCATTTTGGCAGTCATTTTTGCCTTTGCAATTGTAAGTCATATTAAAATCAAAATGAAAACAATTTGCATGTCTTTGTTCTGTACATAAACACATAAATGTATAATTATCATAAAAACAAGTAAGATCAGGATGATTTTGACATATATCGTGATAGTATTTTACACGACGAAGATGTGAATATCCAATTATAACTTCATCTAATACTTCGTGAATGTGTGGACAACGTTGTGATGGAGAGATTTGTGTAGAAAAAGTAACTGAAGATGTATAATTATGTTGAAGAATAATAAAATAATACATATGATCAAATTCAACGAAAGCAAGATGAAAGAATAATGGCACATTGAAAGATATTGTTTTTTGATTGAATAGAATTTTCTTGAACATAGTTGCTCGAACAGGTTCTAAGGTTTTACTTCGCACATCACGTAGTAGAACGTCAATGAAGTGAACAAATAGAGACTGTGGAGTTTCTCCGTTAGAAAATGAGATATCTATTCTTACATCTGTCGTTTCACAAAATTCGCCAGAGAATCCATCTGGACAAACACATGTAAAGTTAGTTGAAGATTGTCGATAATCATGTGGTACACAAATACCGTTGTTTATACATGTGTTATTCATTTGGCAAATTGAATTAAGATAACACCGAGGTCCTGTTTTGTTTAAAGAGCATAGACAAATTGATCGATTTCCTTTAAAACCAATACACATCGAATCTGATGAACAATCACACTTGTGTTGTATCGTAGAAAATGAATTTACCCAGTTTAAGCATCGGCAAGATTGCATATTATCATTTGTTAATGATTTTAGATATTTATCACTACATAATAAGTGACAATCTTGCTGTACTGGGATTATCAATTGAACACTCATACGATTAACAGGCATAAAAAGAAATTGGACTGGAAATATCCAACTTGTATGATAATCAAGTTTTACTTTATCATATGCATCAATATAGATTGTATAATTCTTCATCATATCTTTCGGACGATTTTGATAAAGAAGACGCATATTATATTTCCAATTACAACTAATTACGGATTTGTATGTAATTTGTTCATACGAATGAACATAACCAGTATGATCAACAAGCCTAATAATAATACCAATTACATTTATATTTTTTAAATTTTCTTGACGTAATCGAATAGTGAGACTAACACGCTGATTTTGATATTGACAAAGATCACCATAATAAGTTTCTGGACAAATACATTGTTCTGTTTCATTTTTACCGACAAGAATTACAAATCCTTTATTGCATAACCATAATCTTGGATTATTGTTATGCTTAACTGTAGACATTTTCTCAGTTTTTATCATATCATTTTGTATCTGCTTATGAATTGGCAATGGCAATTGGATTGGCGGAAAACTAAGTGATGATTTAAGAGAGAATGGTTGTTTTCTAGTCACATGAACATTGTCTATATTATCTACAAATTCTTCTATATCTCGAAATTTTTCATCATTCGAATTACATGCTAGATCAAATTCGTTGGACTTATCGCAAACTCGACAGGCACGCGTAATTGAAGTACATTTTGTATCATTCCAACAGCGATAACGCATAAAAAAATCTGGTTGTTGTAATCTACAATGGGATCGTTCATCTGTTGATCCAAGACAATCAATAGTTCCATCTTCAATGCGATTTATATGTAAACAATCCATCTTGCGGCTTTTTGGAGACAAACATGGATGATGATTTGCAGGACATTGAAAATTTGATGAACAATTAATTTCATCAATTCCTTTTGGACAACTCCATACACCATCACAATGTGTATATGGATTTATACAAGGCCATCGTTCACAATAAGTTTCATCAGTTTCATTTTCTGTAGAAACTATCTCAACCCAGTTATTACAAAAAGAAGAGAAAGAGAGGTCATGAATCGTATCTACCATATCATCAACGATAGGCTCATCTTTTCCATCAATACAGTGCTTCTCTCCATCATTCACAAGTGCAGGTGAGAGACATTTCTGTTCATCTGGACATGGAAAACGATGTTTATCATTCAATGCACAGGAGTTAGCTGCAATTGACTCATCAAAAGCATCGTAACAATCTGGAAATCCATCCATAATTCGACGCTTAGATATACATTTATTTGTTCCTAAACAACGTACTGTAGTTGAATTTTGGCAGGTATTCTCATTATCATTAGTATTTTGAAAGAGTTGAATACATCCCCTAAATTTTTTATATATGTTGTTCATTAATGTTAAATTCAATTGGTCAGTATGTAAACATGTATAATTATCGAATGTGAATGTTGGACTGAGAAATGGGCAAAGATCTTTGTTGTAACATACAAAGTCAGGTTCATACCCCAACATTATGATAGATGTTGCATTAGAAAAATAGCCGAATCTCACATGACCATCCCACACTGGAAAGGTAGGTGCAATGAATACAGATGGACAATTTTTAACAGTTTGTATTTGACATTCTTCTTGGTTATTGCAGAAGTTTTTACAATATTTATTGAAGTTGTCGCCCCAGAAAAATATAAATAACCCACACATAAGAGTTTTGAAACAAAGAGGATATCGTGTATCCATAGGATTGTTCCAGTCAAACACGTAATTAATTGCTTTATCTCGATGGTTTGTGCAGTGATCAAATCCTGGACGTTCACTTACATCATAACAATTTCCATTTCCACAATTAAAATCGATGTCTTGTGGACAAAGAACATCTTCACATACAAAAGATAAGTCTCTTCCACATAAAGTGAGGATTCTTTCATAACTTTCATCCGATCCATCCAAACACTCTGGACTAAGAGTGTCACCCCACACAAGACGCTTTTCATCTGTCACGAAGTCTATGTTCACACACATACCATTTCGACATTGATATTCGTTTTCTTCACATTGATTCATTTCAAGTTCAGCACAATATTTTTCATCTTCACCATTATCAAGACAGTTCACTTTTCCATCACATATTTCACGCCAATCGAGACACGTTAGAAATGAATGATTGCTACATTGCATATGCATATAGCAGGTTACTGTTGTTTTTTTATCGAACAATTCACGCTCGTCATTTCTCATTTGAATAAAAGATAAAAATGACTGATTTGAAACAAATTTATATTGACAAAATGATCCAAACCATGGTGGAGTACAATTATAAAATATTTCAACTGATGAAGTTGTGTTCATTTGCAGAAAGTATTCATAACGTTCGACAAGATCAATAGGACTTGACCATTGCATTAGATCTTTAGATGTTATATTATTCTTTTTTAATTTATCAAAAGTTAATTTAGATGATATTGATTTTTCATTAATATCGATTATTTCCTTCAAAGATGATCGAATACAATATTCAACAATTTGCTCGAGCATATATTCCATGTCATCTATATGGTTTGTCTCAGTTATTGGTGAATAGAAACAATCATGATCAAAATCATTCGTCTTCGTATCTGTATTATAAAGATTGTAAAAAGGTTGCCATACGTTTGAATTGGAAACCATGATGATATTACTGATGATAATGATGATATAAGATAATGATATAGTCATTTTGAACAAAATATATCTGAAATGATTAAGATGTGAGTCAGAGATGTCCATTGCAGTTGAGAATCTGCCGCTGCCGCGATGGGATTTTAAAAAATCTTTAGATTTTCAAAGCTGTGATCGGTTTAAACTAGAATATCTCCTGCCAATCAATAAGATTCGTCAAGCCTTATCGTATAACATATATTAACGTCAAGATGATCTTATAGATTCCTGAGTTTTTGGAATTTCTTTCATAGAAAAGCTATCGCTGCCGCACTGCGATGGTTTCTGAAAACAATCTGCTGTCACCACGGCAGCGCCGCCCTGGACATCTTTGGTATGAGTATGGATAAAGATGTGACAAATGAAAAGATCATTCATACTTCTCCACGTCGTCCTTACAGGGCTCAATTTCAAATACACCTAGCTTTTCAATCCCAAAAATATCCTAGTGATGCATGTTACTTATGACACACATAAAATAGCATAAAAATGATGGGCCAAACTATCTCGTTCTTAGGCCTGTTAATATAATCCTAACTATAGAATGATGCACTATAGATCACTATCTTTTTAAGAAATTTCAACTTGTGGCGAACGTTACTTATGAGAAAAATATTGACTCGAAAGTTCTCGGTCATTTGGAGTAACCATCTTGAGGGTGTGGGTGAAAATAGTGAGTGACAGTGGAAAGGATAGTACCCGTACTCACCATAACCCACACTCTCATCTGGAGGGTAGCTGTGGGTGTGGTAAGTGCGGGTACTATTTTTTTCGCTGTCATTCACTGTTTGCACTCACATTTACTCCTCGAGCCTCCTTTGTTCCTTAGTCCCCCAGCCCCTTTAGTCCCCTTAGCTCTTTCAGCCTCTTGATCCCCTCAGTCCCTTAAGCCTCCTTAGACTCTTAGCCCCCAATCCCTTAAGCCCCCTTAGTCTCTTGATCTCCCTTAGTACCTTGAGCCTCCGTGGCATTTTAGGCGCTTTAGTCTCATGAGGCTGTTTAGTCCCCTAGGCTCCTCAGTTCTCTTGAGTCCCTTTGACCCTCTTTAGTCCCTCAGCCTCTTTATCCCACTTAGTCTCTTCATCCCCCCTAGTCCCTTGAGCCTCTTTAGTCTCCTTTGTTCCCTCACACCACTTAGTCCTTAGAGACTCTTTAGTTCCTTAGTTTCCTCAGTTCCTTTAGCCCTCTTAGCCTCTTAATCCCCCTGAGTCCCTAAATCACTCAGTCCCCTGAGTCTCTACAGTTTTCTTATTCTCTCGTTCCCTCAATTCTCTAGTCCTTGTAGTCTCTAACGCCCATAGTCCCCCGCCCATGCCACATTTCAGTATGAAATCGACTCCATTTTTTTCTAATTTTAGTTTAAAATTAAATAGGCCGTTGTATGTAATAAATACGAAAAATGTCTTATAAAAAAGTAAATAATATATACGAACTCACTACGTCGTACATTCATATCTACTATGATAAAGATTCGAATCAAATTCAATATGTAAGCAAGTTAGATAATAACAAAACTACAGATAATAAATGGATAAGACTTACCTGATACTCTGATTAGATAGAAGAAAAATAAAAGTGAAATGCGGGTAGAAAGACATCATGATTATCTCTCAAATACTTTTGAATTATATAATTATCACTCTTTTCTCTAAAAATTCTTTCAAATAAAAACTCAAAGATATAACATAGTGAATAACATAATATACAAAAGTACAACATGAGCTCAAACACTTCGAGTGGTTCTCTCCTTTGAAAAATACAGAGTATTTCAAGCTAAGGTAAAAATATTTAGAAATGTTGACGCTAAAACTACCCATGTATTTCTGCTCTCATCTGGCGTCGAACGTTTCTCTATCGTCAAATTATAACTGTGAATATCTATGAATATACAAGATGCACTCATTTTTGAGAGAAAAAGAAAATCTCAAACTAGAAAATCATAATCTAAATAGAGATTAAGAGGCAGATATGGCGCATAAAAGAGAGAACTACGTTTCAGAATAAAGCAACGACGGAAATACCAACAAAACGAGTGACAGATGGGAAAAATGACGCATTAACATATTTAACTTTGCATGAAACTCGTCAAAATCGACTTTTTCATATTTTACCAAAGGGGAAATGTTTTGAGATAAACCGTGCTGAAGTTGGCTCTATAAAAACGCGATTTTCGATGATTCTTTTCAATTACAGGAGTCAGACTGTTTATTCGGTTTTCTAAAAGCAGTACTAAAAAACTGAATAAGCGATATGGCTCCCGTGATTGACAACCATTGCATTTTCATGGAATCAACTTCAATACGGTTTCTCCCAAAACATTTTTCCTTTGGTAAAGTATGATATAATCGACTTTGACGAGTTTGATAAAAATTAAATATATTAATGCGTCGTTTTTTTTCCATCTACTAGTCATTTTGTTGGTGTTTCTGTCGTTGCTTTATTCTCAGACGTAGTTCTCTCTTTTATGCGCCATATCTGCCTCTTAATCTCTATTTAGATTATAATTTTTTAGCCTGAGATTTTTTTCCGTCAAAAATGACTGCATTTTGTGTGCTCATAGATATTCACAGTTACATTTGATCGATGGATAAATATCCAATGGCAGAAAAGAACAAGAATATATCACTAGTTTTGCCTTAATTTGAAACACCCTATATTTTCGACGGAGAGAACCGTCCGATATGTTTCACGCTACTTGTGCTCGTATTGTATTCACAAGAAGGTCTTGGTTAAACTAGTAAAAGACTTTGCCCTGGTGGGACTTGGAAAGTGAATTATAGAAGGTTACTGAATTGTTGAGGCGTTTTAAAATGTTTACATAAACATCAAATAATGGAATTTTGACTATAGACAGGTCTAATCACCGCAAACGAATGCTCCTATCTCGAGATATTGAATTTCCAAGTTAATTCGAAGTATGTGACATGTCTATGTCAAGCGATTGCTTTTTATCTATTTTAAGGTAAATATTTCAAAACGACTCGACTACGGAGTAAATTGGCCATAACTTACCTTCAAAATCTCGTCAGAGCGACGTTTTTCAGTTTTGTAGTAGTAGAATCGCGACCTTCTTGTGAGCGTAATATGAGCTCAAACAGCATCGAACACTTCAGGCGGTTCCCTCTTCAGAAACATACAATGTTTCA